GCTATCAATTCCAGTAAAGCATTCATTATTATTTCTACGAAAAAAAAAATCTGTTTAACTTATATACAATTATTTTCGAAAAAGTTGAACACTTAAAAACCTTCGTGCAGAAAACCAGAAATGAAAAAGACTTCATAAATCCTAATCAACTGACAACCAACTTATTTGAATGATAATAAAAAATAAATCCCATGTCCCAACATCCGCATTATGGTCAAATTACATGATCCAACCTTATTTGAACAAATCCCCAAGTCTCAAAGACGCTCAACATCCAACACCCTGACATGAAAAGGACTTCACTCAAAACCACCAAATTAGCCCGCACGGCTCTCTCGCCCTTTTCTGCCTTCGCCCCACAAAACATTTCTACGTTTCCTTTCTTTCTTCTTCCTTCTGTCTTGGATGATCAAAATCTAACCCAATTCTGTCTAATCCAACTCCAAAATCTCCAAATTCTCGAGGGCAAATGAAAGAGATTACAAACTTGAATTCTCGTAATCTAATCAAACAATCATCACCTTCACCGGCTCAAATTATCCATCCCCAGTGCCCCATACGAAAAGCCAATTAGGACCCGTCTCCACCTCCAGCAGCTCATCATCATCTCCTCCACCTCGAAGCTTCAATCATCTTTCTCAGTTTCAAGATAAATCCATGCAAAACTTCCCTCTTGTTACTAGGTATAATAAAACCATAGGAATCAATAAATATACTACATATTTGATCTCTAGTTCCTCCTCTTCATGTGTAAATCGAAGAAGCAACTAAGCCAGGATGTGATTGAGCCCTCCACCATGCCCAGAAATTCATCTTCTCAGCGATCAAACAAGTCATCCCACAAATCCTCCTCCTCCTCGTTTGCAGAACCTTCATCGTCCCTCAGCAATTACGACAAATCCATCCCCAGCACCGGATCCAGCTACTACAACCGAGATTCATGGCTGACCACCTCCAATTCCAGCTCCGGGAATCCTCCCTTAACCCGACTCCGCGATAATCTTCCCGAACGAACCCACGTCTACGACATATCCGAGATCTCCGCCGCAACCAACAACTTCAAGCTAAAACCCTTCAACTCTTCCTCCTCCTCCACCTCCTGGCGCTGCACTATTCGCGGCCAGAACGTCATATTAATCCAACGCAAGTTTCGCCGCCCCATGAACGTCTCAGAACTCGTCGACCGCTTAGCATTAATATGCCGGAGCCACCATTCTAGCTTGGTTCGGCTCAAGGGCGCCTCGATTTCTGGGAATTATATTTATCTAGTCTACGACTACATCCAAGGTGGAAACCTCGCCGACTGTTTAAGAAACCCCAAAAACCCTCATTTTACAGTGCTTTCTGATTGGCTGTCCCGCGTGAAGATTGCCGGTGACATTGCTCATGGGCTCGATTACATCCACCATTCAACTGGGTTGGGTTTCAATTTTATCCACAACCATATTAAGGCCTCGAGCATTATCATTACACCCACTTTGGATGCAAAAATATGCCATTTCGGGACGGCCGACCTCTGCGGGGAGATAACAATGGACAGGGATGACGAGGACAACGATAAGCTGGGGTCGACGAAGAGTAAGGGTAAAATGGAGTACAAAAGATCGGGGAGCGGGCGGATGAAGTTAGAGGGGACTAGAGGGTATATGGCGCCGGAGTATCGAGACACCGGGGTGGCTACCGAAAAGTCTGATGTTTATGCATTCGGGGTGGTGATTTTGGAGCTGCTTTCGGGGCAGGAGGCGTTGAAGTATAGGTTTGATGAGGAAATGAGAGGCTATGTGAGGGATTCGGTGATCGAGGCGGCCAAGGAGGCGCTGGAGGAAGGTGGCGGAGGGGTGAGGAAGTGGGTGGATAAGCGGATGAAAGATTCTTATCCGGTGGAGGTTGTGGAAAAATTGACAAGGTTGTCGTTGGAATGTGTTGCGGATGATCCGAATAAGAGGCCGGATATGGGTCGGGTTTTTGCTTGCATATCCCAATTGTATTTGGATTCACAAACTTGGGTCGAGAAGATGGGCGGGCTGCCCGTCGACTTTTCGCTGTCTCTTGCACCCCGGTGACTGAATGTCTCCTCTTCTTTTTCTTTTTTTTTTTTTTGACTGAGAAGATATCTTGTTTTATTTGCTATAGGTTTTTCGAGGAATTAAGGTATAGAAACATTGGTTAGTTTTGGTGTAAATAGATTCTTTACGACATACAAATTATTATTTCCTGAGAAGCAGCTCGATTTTGATAATATTACTAATTTTTCCTTTGAGGTTCAGCTGTGTTTCTTATACACTTGATGGACAAGGAAGAAGACATCTTCTTTTAGGGCATGAGCAAATTGCAGTTTTCAACTCAACGGGAGAATGGAAGGCTTGAATTTGATGAGATTTCACTCCTATCGTGGGTCGAATTGTGATGCTGATCAAATCAGTTGTTTTTTGCTGACAATAATGCTTCGTTCAAATTTAGGATGCATTTGATAAAACTGAAATCTGAAATTTAAATTCATTAATTTATTGAACTGTAAAGTATTAAATCTAATATATTTGAATGCATATCACATTCAGTGAAAAGTAAATAGCATATCATTTAGTTTTGGGAATAAGTTTTGCCTATAAAATTCAGTGTCACTTAATTAATTCAGATGTTCAATTTTTTATTATTAAACGGTTTAAACATGTTAAAATATGAATTCATTAAATTTAAGTGCTGAATTGAGTTATCAAACAGAGTCTTTTGTAAAATAATGAAGTAAAAGCAGGACCTGATTAGTGGCCATAGGTAGCAGAATTTTACGTTAGTATGAACACTGTCCCACATTATATGGATTGTATAGTCCACAGATGGTCGATTCTGTCAAAGTCAAGGGTTTAATGCCTTAATGGAAGCTATAATGATGGTAATATTAAAGATGTTTATAAAACCAGTACCTTACTTGTGTAAACAATTTACAGCAATAAGTTTTGACCTCGAAGAATTTGCAGATTGGACGAAATCTGCAGCAGCCAGCACTCAGCAGGTATTTCAGCAGATTGACTTCGGAGAACAAAAGCGAGGGAGTAGATATCCAATCAAATTCGATCAAGATTTCTCAAAATGGGAAAAGGAAAATGGCCAGCTTGGAAAAAAACTGCATACCCTCTTTTGCTTTATAAGGAGGAGGACTGCAAGCAATCCTAACCTTGAACCTCATTTATGACCAATAATTTGCAGCTGTAGTCAATAATGCATTAAAGTTGACAAACGTTTTAATTGTAGGCTCTGGTTTTGATAGTAGAAAGGGGGGGGGGGGGTCGTCTTTCCAACTTCGATTTTATAGACTCAAGAGCTTAACACGAAAAACAGAAAGCATAGTCAAATTATTTCCATACCGACATCTCTTTCCTACGGTGGCTGTTCAGACTCTGTGCTCTTTCCTGTCTAATCCACAAACAGACTTGAGAGGAGAAGACTTCTGAAACTTTGAGATTGACATGAATCTAGAAATCATGCGGAGTGGTATTGGGGTTTGACCAGAGTGAATTCGATTTGGTTCACAAACTGGTAAACCCCGGCTGAAGTGCTAAGGTAGGTGTTAAGTAGTACTTTTCTTGGAGCCCCATGTGAAGGAAAATGAAAGATGTTCAGTTCTGGATGTTGAAAGTCCAAATGCTATGGAATACGATGGCTTCCTGCTGAGAGTAGAATTACTTTTCTTGGATCCCCATTTGATCGAAAGTGAAAGATGTTCAAATTCCAGAGGTTGGAAGTCCAAATGCTATGAAGAACGAAGGCTTCCTTGAACCCTTGAAGGGGTAGCTAGGTGGTCCATTAATCAAATTAACTCACGTGAAGATGTGAATTACACTCAATGCACGTAAAAATTAGGTGGCTTATCTGTTTTGAGAGTAATTGAACTAAGCGAGAGGACAAATTTTGCTTAAATTTGATTAGCAAATCCTTGTATTCCCTTGTAACAATGTAACATTGGAATTATAATTCTGAGTAAGACCCTTATTTAAATATACTTGCTTACATTTCAAGTCAAAAAGTAAAACATCACATTGCACTAGAGTTGTTGTTCGCCCTCGCTCACATAAATTTTTGCTTTTACCATAATTTTTCTCTTTATAACATTTCAATTTGAACTAGGGATGATTTGAAAACCCTCTCCTAAAATTTCTGATCTCTTGAAATCAATTTTCTGGCAACGATTTAGCCCAATTCAAAAAAAGCAACAATAAAAATTTATTTCAGCTGTGAGATGATTTATTTATGCCAAAAATGCCTCCCAACTTTTATACTAGTAAGATTAAATATTTGATCTAATTTGTTAATTTACTTATGAGGCCATTACACATGGTTAATAAAAAAAAATTCCATCATCCATAATAAAAATAACAACTTTCAAAATTTAATAAAATAATTTTTTTCATACCTTATGATTCTTGCTATCACCACAATTATAAGAAAAATTAACCCAACTGAAATCTCTTATATTTGATTCCTTTTATTTATCAAGTACATAAATTAGAAAAAGGATGCCTAGTCTTGGATCCCTTTTTAGATGCCAAAATTAGATTTTCTTTTTTACATTTCAAATTATGGTTAATTTAATTTGTAAACGGATTAATTGTTTCTATATAAAAATTAAAAAGATGCACCTAATATTGGCTCTATTTTTAATGCACCTAATTGTTTCTATTTTTAATGTAGTTAGCAAACACTTAACTCTTTTCCTTCACATATATACGTGTAATTATTCTAAATTATAAAGGTAATAGAGTCATTTAACCTATTAGTGATGTAAGCGTTCGATCCCAAATGACTGCGAGGGGAGGTAAATAAAATTTTAAAAATCTTAGGGAATGACAGTGAAATTGTAAAAAATCTCAAGGGAAGTTTCTGAAATTATGCCTTTGAACTAAAGTAAAGGTTCAATTCGTAATTTAGTATAAAATCTGGGGAAATAATGTAATATCCTTTTAGTTCTATTTTTTCCCATGGTTCTAATGTTTGTATTAGCGCCGATGCCCTTGTCTCTCAAACCTAGGTCCGAAGCACCGACTACCGTTAAAACTCCTCAAACTGCCTTACTCGAACCCCTTCTCTTCAGCCCTGTTTCTCCGTTGTCGGCCTTTTCTACCTTCGAGTAAAGGGACGCTGCCAAAAGGTCGCCTGACGCCACCGACGCCGGAGCCGGGTGGTTTAGCTATCAAGGTTTTTCAATAACTCTTTTTTTTGAAGTTCAATTCTTTCTGCAAAACTATTCAGCATCTATGTGTACGTCTATGCATTTATCGAATTGGCTACATGAATTCTGATCTTTCGTCCAAACCGAAACTGGGTTGTGCTTTTTTGAACTTTTACGGGATAATGATGCTGTTTGAGTTGGGCGGGTTTAAGAGAAAACTGTTTTTTACTGGGGAATTGGGCTGATTTCTTCTTGCTTTCTTGAATTAATCAGTTGCCTATTTTTAGGTTGCATTGTGACGGCCTCCTCTAATACTTGGACTTTTATATCTTGCTCGTTCTTCAGGAACTTGATGTGAATTTCATTTACTTTGGTAAATTTTGAATTTTTTATGGTTGAGCTGTGATATGGGTTTCTCAATGGAATACTTCAGGTAATGGTATTTAAACTTTCGATTCCTTTTATTTTCTATGAGGTTCATGTAATGGTCTGAGACTGGAGTATTGCTGTAAGACTTCTATTTGTACTGTATGAGCTCGTTTTTAGCAAGTTCTTATCTGTCCTACAGCTCAAAATACGTGATAACTACCTCCCTTAGTGAAATTTATAGTGTAAAAGAGTAAGAAGATCATCCTACTGATTTTGCTAGTGTTTCAGTTATAAACTGTTGCCTTTTATTGGGTAATCCTTTCTTTTGTTGTGTCTTTCTGTTGATGTCATCGAGTATGAACTTCAGAGAAACTTTTTAATGTACACGATCTAGGAAGTTTTAAGGGGATCAGTATCTTGATTTTCCCAGATGAACTTCCTGCATTCTTATGTTGTGATGGTGGATTTGTGTCGGTTTTTGTGAAAGTAACTAGATGTTTTTCTGGACTCATTTGCTTAGGTTACTTTGTGTTTAAGTTTTCAAAAAATTTAACTGAATTTTGTCAGATCCTGTGGTGCCTTCTTATGAATGAGAAAGATACTAGTCATAATTCTGACAATGAAAGATTATGAAAGATACTAGTCATAATTGTGATACTAGTTATACCTATCATCATGAAAGATTGTGAACTTACTAGGTACTACATTAGCTAGTAAATTCTTCATCAGTAGCCCAACTTTAGAAGAATCTGCTTCTTTTTATATGCAAAATAGATCCAAACCACAAAACAAAACAATGCAAAAAGAGGAGAGCTGTTTGATAAGAAATTTAGAATAAGAAACAATATTTAATATATGCTTGCTTGAAAGCTACCATCATTATTGGCTGTGATGCGTAATACCCATTCAATCAGCTCGGCTGCACTAACAAATGATTTCTGCAAAAGTATGTTAATTAAATTCTTTGACAGTTAAAGCTACAAATGGCACAAGTAAAGTTTCTTTTACGTAAGTCCCCCAACAAATAAGACATTTGGGTTTGAGGTTGAAGCAAAAGCTGGTATAGACATGTGAATAGGACAATGAAGTTAATAATGCAGCGGTGCTTTTTTTAATGTTTTTCTGGACTACTTCATAGGATATCTATACTTTTCTGGCTGTGCCATGGCCCGTTAAATGCAGATTTACTTGGATTATTAGTTGTAGATTGTAAAATTGTAGCAAAATACTATGTTTGAATCCCTATTTTAATGATGAATTTCATGTCCAAGATTGCTTTGATCTTTCGGAGAATTGAGATTGTGCATTGGTTAAAAATATTATCAATCTCCATGTGGTTTTCTTTGACTTCTTCTAGATGCTGCTTCTAGGTTAATGATACAGTTGGGGAGGATTCACTTCTGAGGGTCTCTTTTCCTAATGGGCTCTCCTGAACGAGTAAGAAGTTCAGGAAAGAAGGACATAGAGGTTGATCCAGATGTAAAGACGGACAGGTTCAGGGAAGATGATGACTGGGAAGGTGATGATAAGAGAAAGCACAGGTCAAGCAAGTCAAGAAAGCCTGGAACTTTGGAAGATGCTGAGGGAATAGATAGTGGTGGTAGAAAGAAAAGTGCCGGGGACAGAACTGAGAGCCGAAAGAGATCAGGTGGTTCAAGCAGAGCTGATAGTGATGAGGATGACTATGAAACAAGGAAGGAGTCACGTACTCGGCATATGAAGAAGAAAATAGAGGACAACACATTGGAGAAACTGAGCAATTGGTATGAAGAAGGAGAAGGTGAAATCAAGTATGACAGTGGATATAAAGGACATGGTCGAGTTGATGACAGTGAAAGAAAGAGATTGACTTCAAAGTTCTCAGATCATGAGATCTCCCAGGTCAGAGCTAAAGACAAAGATGAAGCAGTGTTAGATGGTAACCCTGAAAAGGCGCTAGATAGAGAATCTAGATTTTCTGAAAGAAGGGAAAGTAGTAGAGAGAAGGGTCATGGTTCTTCTGAGCATGGGAAAAACTCAAGGAGAAAGTGGGATGACTCAGATGTCTTCTGGAAAGATGAAGATGGAAACTACACTGAAAAATCTGATATAAGAAGTGGGAAGCTGACTGAGTCTAGGATTGAGATTGTTAGAGACAGAAGTGATAGCATGAAATTTGATCTGAGTGAGAGCAAAATCAGAGAATTTGACTCAGACGGTGACAAAGGCATTAAAGCTCAGGATAAGGAGGACAGAAGATCTGAGTTTGAAAGGAATAAGAGGGACAGGTTGGAAGTTTTAGAGGAGGACCTGAAAGGAAGCTCGTCGATGCGGTCGAGCAAGGAGAGAAATGAGGAGCATAGACACCCAAGAAATCCGGCTGGTAGGGAAATTGTTGACAGTCGTGAGAGGTCTTTAAACGCAGATGAGGATGGCAATGCATGGATGAGAGACAAGAACAGGAGGGAAATAGATACTTCCAACAGGTCAAGGACACCTGAGCGGAGTGGAAGACGTCAATATGAACCAGACAACTTTGATATGGATTATGAGCGAAGCACTTCTTTTAGGAGGAAGGAACAAGAGAGAGATAACTATAGAGATGATAGGTCTAAAGGAAGAGATGAAAGTTGGACTGATAGGAGCAGGGATCGCGAGGGCTCTAGAGATGCTTGGAAAAGAAGGCAACCTAATAGCACTGAAAAGGAAATAAGGGATATTGATACAGCTTATGATCATGGTAGAGAGTGGGATTTTCCTAGACGTGGTCGGATTGACCATGATAGGCCTCAAGGTCGTTCTGGTGGTAGGAAAGACGGAAGCAGGACTGAAGCAGTGAAAACCTCTTCCAAGTATGGAATTTCGAATGAGAATTATGATGTCATAGAGATCCAAACCAAACCATTCGATTATGGAAGGGAGGAATCTAAATCCCTCCTTTCCAGAAGCAATGAACTGGGTCAGCAATCTGATACATTGGCTCCAAATGGTGAGGAGAATGCTTATTCTAGGGAGGAAAGATCTAGGAATTCATATGCATCTATGCAATCTGGTGAGGATTCAAAGGATAGATTCACAGATGGGGGCTTTTCTGGGCAAGACCAGAATTTATGGAGGGATGACAATGACTTTGCAAGAGCAAGAGGCCAGAGGGGTGGTATGTCTAACCGTGCTTCTGGGGGCCAAAGTTCTAGTGTTGGCTCACAAATGATGCATGGAAACCAGGAGTCCTCTTCCTTTACGAGATCTGCACCACAAGGAGTTAAAGGGAATAGAGTTGGACGAGGAGGTAGGGGTAGACCAATGGGCAGAGATGGTCAACAGGTTGGGCTTCCAATGCCATTGATGGGATCGCCTTTCGGGCCACTTGGAATGCCACCACCTGGACCGATGCAATCTATAACTCCTAGCATGTCACCAGCACCAGGTCCTCCAATTTCTCCTGGTGTCTTTATTCCACCATTCCAGCCTCCAGTTGTTTGGTCTGGTCCTCGAGGTGTTGAAATGAACATGCTAGCTGTCCCACCTGTTCTCTCACCTGTTCCTCCAGGGCCCTCTGCGCCTAGGTTTCCCGCAAATATGGGGACTCCACCAAATCCACCTATGTATTTCAGCCAACCTGGTCCTATAAGAGGAGCACCACCAAATATACCTGCACCAAACTTTAACCCTATTGCACCTATGGGGCGTGGACAATCACAGGAAAAATCCCCTGGAGGTTGGGTTCCTCCTAGAACTAATGGACCCCCTGGCAAAGCTCCTTCGAGAGGAGAGCAGAATGATTACTCCCAAAACTTTGTCGACACTGGTATGCGTCCACAGAACTTTATCAGGGAGTTAGAGCTCACTAGTGTTGTGGAGGACTATCCAAAACTTCGGGAGCTTATACAAAAGAAGGATGAGATTGTTGCCAAATCGAATTCCCCACCTCTTTATCTGAAGTGCGACCTGCATGAACAGGTGCTTTCTCCAGAGCTCCTCGGTACAAAGTTTGATGTCATTCTTGTGGACCCTCCTTGGGAGGAATATGTACATCGAGCTCCTGGTGTTACTGATCATATGGAATATTGGACATTTGAAGAAATAATGAATTTGAAAATTGAGGTACTGACTGCATTATTTATCACCAAGAATATATATATATATATATATATATATATATATATATATATATAAGAAATAGAAAAGGAGGTTGTTTGTTTTACTTAGGTATGATCTTTGTGCTAGACTTTTTATTTCCACAAGCCTGGAAAAAATTATGATTCTATCTGCTCATAATTTGAATTAAAACCGGCTGGTCGGGTGATGTACGGTCAGTGATAGACCCATATATGCACACAAAGGTTATTTGCTACATGCTAGTAAATTATGCATGTTGGTATTTATGTTTCTATAGTTAAGAATTCTTATAATTGGGCTTAATACTTCAAAATTTTTAGTCATCATTGTTGGTTGCTTCTGCTGACATTCAAAAGCACTTCCTAGTAATGTATTTCTGATCCTGGAGTATCTCTACTCTGCAGTTTAGCTTAATGCTTTCTGGAACTTGATGATTTAAGTGATTGGCTTTCTTCACTTTCAGGCAATAGCAGATACACCTTCTTTTATTTTTCTTTGGGTTGGTGATGGTGTTGGGCTTGAGCAAGGTCGACAGTGTTTGAAGAAGGTATAGTGAGATGTTTGAGAGAAACAGTGTGTGGTTAGCAGCTGCCTCATCTTTGTATTGGTGTTCGATATTGTATTTGTTTAGATCATCCTTGGCCTTTCATTTTTTTTTTTACTTTTTTTTTGGTTTGGCGGTAGTTTAAGATCATTTGAAGAGTTTTAACTTTTTTCCACATATTATTTCATTATAAACTCCATGCAGTGGGGATTTAGAAGGTGTGAAGATATATGTTGGGTGAAGACAAACAAAACAAATGCAACTCCTGGACTGCGCCATGATTCGCATACTTTATTCCAGCGCTCAAAGGTTCGTGAGCAACTCTGTATGCTCTATATTACTTCTCTGAAAGCAAATATCCCGTTGTGGAGTGCAATCGCAAATGCCCATATTTTGCTCTTTTTATTTTTTTTATTTATTTTTATTTTTTTCCTAATATCACGTACTTGTTTTGCTGATCTCTGTGCTGCTTTGTTGCCACAATGAAGGAACATTGCTTAATGGGCATAAAAGGGACCGTACGTCGCAGTACTGATGGTCATATAATCCATGCCAACATTGACACTGACGTAATAATTGCTGAGGAGCCTCCTTATGGTATGTAGTTTGTGATCCAAATGCCTAGGCTTGTCTTATGTCGGCAAACTTGTCTTCTTCCCATGGGATGTGAAATTTATGAGCGCACCATGTTCTCTCCACTCCTACATCCTTTTGACTCTATGAATTTTTAGGTTTCTCCTGGTTGTTTCGGCAATATTTGTCGTAAACGTAGATAAAAGCAGACAAATGGGAGGAAGAGGCAATCTTGTAACTGCTCTCAGGGCTTTGAAGCTTATTATAAATGCTCTAGGTTTTCCTGTTACATCTAACAAGATGGAAATTCCCATGCTGCCTTCTCGTTTCTATCCACATATGCCTTACCTTCCCCATCTTTCCATGCTTTGTTTCAGTTATACCTTTGATTCACTACTTTTCTCCTCTCTTCAGTTTGCTAATCAAAGTGATGAAAAATTGTGTGCACATTAAACTGCACTATTGAACAAAGACGGACATATATCAAAATATACTGTAATATACATGACCACAAACATATAATAGTAGGATTTCCCAAAGCAGTTGAACTACCTTTTTCTCATGATCATAATAAAAGTATTGATTATTTTACTGCAATACATTTGGTAGAATATTGGAGAATGGACTACTATTGCATTATATTCAGCAGACATTTGTAGAATGAGCTATTGTTTATGCAATCTTGTGCAGCAGTAAACCTATAGAGTCTTATTTATATTGTAGGATCTACTGCAAAACCTGAAGACATGTATAGGATAATTGAACATTTTGCTCTTGGCCGGAGAAGACTTGAGCTCTTCGGGGAAGATCATAATATCAGGGCTGGCTGGTTAACTGTTGGTAAAGGATTATCCTCATCAAACTTCAATGCCGAGGTATGCAGTTGAAGCATTTTGTTTCATTGAATTTTTATTTGGATTTATTGTCATTTGCTTGCTATATCTTCAAAGGAAAACAGGAGAGAAAGGAGCAGGGGTTGGTTTTATTTTTATTTTTTTTGTTTTTTTTTGTGGGGGGGGGGGGGGGGGATGTTGGAAAGGCAGATGCATATCCGCAACTTGCAGTGATTTTTTTTTTCACAAGTATTTTGGTTTTATGAGGAAGTGTGTCTGAACTGACAAGTTAATTTGGCTATAAGTATTTTTCTGCTATGTAATGTTTTGTTGGCTTCTGAAAAGTTCTTGTAACCAAAGTAGTAGTAAAGCTGGCCACGTTGTAGCAAGTTAGGCAGTTCTAGACAATCTTCTCAAGTCTGGCTCGTTAGTCCCTTTACAGGACGTTGTTGGTTCATTCATGCCAAGGGATTAGTAATCATATGTAGGAGACTCCGCTTTACGGACACAAAACAAAATGGCCAATGTGGTTCTTTTGAAGTTCACTGCATGACATAGGACTAATTATCCTTGGATGAAGCTTTGTAGGGATAAGATTGCGAGATGACATTTTTTTTTTTGGCCTCTTTTTAACCCTTTTTTTAAGTTGACTTGAATAGTAGTAGTAACTGCAGCCTCAATCTTACTGTTGCATAAATGATGGCCAATGCTGGATAATGGTTCTCTCATTAGGGTACCGAAGCATCAAAATAGCTGCATGCCCACCTTCTTCTTATTCCTTGTTTTAATCTGGAAACGAGAAAGTTAAGAATGATATGTTTTTTGGGTCAGCTTAGTTGTATTTCAGCGTCATTTTTCCAGTGGACTTTATTCGAATTCGTGCCTGTCCTGACAAGAGAATTGGAATATTTTCAGGCATATTGTAGGAGTTTTGCTGACAAGGATGGGAAAGTTTGGCTGGGTGGGGGAGGAAGAAACCCTCCTCCAGAGGCTCCGCACCTCGTTCAGACAACTCCTGAGATAGAAGCATTGCGTCCAAAGTCGCCAATGAAGAATCAGCAGCAACTGCAGCAGCAATCTTCATCAATCTCTCTGACAACAGGCAATTCCTCGAACAAGAGGCCCGCTGGAAATTCCCCACAAAATCATAATGCACAGAATATGAACCAAGAAGCTTCTAGCTCCAATATCTCGACCCCAGCTCCCTGGGGTTCACCAATGGAGGGCTTTAAAGGAAGAGAGGGTGGACTTATGGCCCCCGATGATAGAATATTCGATATGTATGGGTATAATGCATCATTTGGTCAGAGTAATGCAGAGTTTTTAGACTACGAGTCGCAAAGATCAATGAATTTGTTGTAGTAAAACGCATTGTACCAATTAATTTTTCATTTCTTGTATTTTTTGTATTCCACTCCATAAAAGGCATGAAAATTGCCCCATCCCTCGTCTTTCCTCTGCAACTCTCTTCCTTCAAAATTGGGTGTGGCGGCCATTGGTTTTAGCACCAAAACCTTGTAAAGATAATCTGTAATCATTCTCCATTAGGAACTATAAAGCAAACTTTTGTTCGTTGTGAGCGGTTTACCTGCGTTTACTCGATTCTGCACCAGTAAGTTGTAGTCACACACACTGGCATTAACTAAACCATGAACCGCAATGGCATGATTAAACAATTTATATGGTTCTTCTTTTTCTTGATTCGATTCATCATTGACTGCAAAATAAATGAATGATAGGGGCATTAGTCAGTGGCCACACTTTATAGCGATATTAAGAGTTAATCATAGGGACATTGGGCGCTTGATCGTGAGGTTATATTGGTTCAAATCTTGAACAAAAGGAAAAGGGGAAAGTCTGGGTACAAACTTTCTGTTAAAGATGACAAACAGCCCTCTCTTAAAGAAATCGAATTGACGCCCGGGCGGCTACGAGCGACAATTAATTAACCTAAACTTGGAGGAGAAGTCAGATTCTGGAACTTTGCTTTGGTTTTCTTAGTAAAGTTGGGAATCGAACTTGGAAACCAACAGAAAGTCGCCCAGAGAAAGAAAATGGCGGCTCGCCGAGTCCTGTCGCTTCTTCTCTCCAAACAACCTCGTACCTCCTCCTCCTCTCTTAAAGGTAACAAGCAACACCCCACTTCCTTCTCTATCTCTTTTTTTTTTTTTGAGATTGCTATTATTATATGTATATATCTGTTTTCGATTTCAGTCATATGCTTGCCCTAGATATGGTGACTACTCAGCAATTAGAGCTTTAATAGCTAACTTAACAGCCTGAAATCTTGGACCTGCCACTTTTTTTTTTCTCCTCTTGGCGTTAATAGATGGTGATACTACTGATTTAGATTTGCCATAAACTATTTAACTCTTCAGGAGTTGCAGCATTTCTTTTTTTATTCTGATTGGTTGTTGACAATTTGATTTTTTTTTTGCTTTTTCTTGTCAGAAGCGTGGTGGACTAAGTGATTGCTACTACTGTAAAGGACTTGCACTTAATTGTTTTTCTGACAGAAGTGTAGATAGAGTTCTGGGGTGGGGTTGGCTGATTTGAGTCGGAGATAAGTGAAGTTATTGAATTGTTCTATACGTGGTGATTGCATGGGTAGGTCAAAATTGCTCTACTTAAAAAGACTATCCATTGTGTCTTAAACAGTTTTGTGGTTCATCTCAAGTTCTGAATTCAAGCTTGAGTTGGCTAGTAAGTACTACAAAAGATAAGGTGCGATTTGAGTTTCTTCATCTTGGATAAAGCAATGCTTTCTTTATGCAGGAAGGTTATGCATCTCCTTTGTTTTAATTGTCTAATAGGGTAGAGGATGGAATGTAAATGAGAAAGGAAATATACGCTTTCTAGTTTTCCACCATGCTGGCATAATGATGCTAGTAGAAAGCATGATGGGGCAATCTTCCACTTAGTTTCTCACTCACCATTGTCATTGAAAGAAAGGGAATGGTGACTTGACGGCTTGTATGTTGTCTACGATCTTTGACTTCTCAACTTTCAAACATACAAGTATTCTTAGTTCGTCATAGAAATACCTTCCCTGGATTCATTTTACTGAAGATCAGGAAATCGAGATTTTTTTTCTTGGAAATAGAAATTAGCTAGTAAACCAACGAAAATTTGAGGGAAAAAGGGTGGTAAACTAAGTTAAGAGGTTTTGGTAGTTCTTATATTATCAAGTTTAAGTGAAAATTTTGTTGCTGCATGACATCGTTTAAGAAAATCAAGTAAATGAATTGTTTAAAGGGGTGAATAAAGCTGTCCTGTTACTTGCACTTTTGGTTCAGATGTGAAAGATGCTTCGTATCTTTATGTGTTGGTGCCTGAACGTTTATCTTTCACAAGCAAAGGAGGATTAGCAAAAGTTAAATTTGGGTCCGATTTGATACTGGACTCAGTATTTTGTGCCTTGATCTGATAGTGAGCTTGCCAATGTTTCTATGGTTTGAGAGGTTACAGAGTTAAGTAGAGCATATTGCATTCCCCACGAATCTGTATGCATTGCTTGTGAATTTTTATTATCCAAGAGTTCGCCTGAGTTTTTCTCGTGGAATTCAATTTCTTCTGCGTCATGTTTATTTCTGTCTTGGTTATTGTTGATTACTGCTGCAGAATCCTTCTCCCAAGTTATCCCTGCAGCAAATTCGTTCTTCCAAAGAGATGGACTGCGCGAAAGGGGACTTCGGACAATTGTAGAAGACCACAATCGATCTGTTGAAGACAGTTTAGCTAAAGAGAGCTGCAACTTGAACTCAGATTCCAGCTCCAGTGATGCCATTTCAAGTCCTGTATCCAATGAAGACTCCATAAGACACAGGGTGACGTCGAGCCTGAAAATCTCCGAAACACATGATCTTGCAATGATTTTCACATGCAAAGTTTGTGATACCAGATCGGTAAAGACATGTTCTCGTGCCTCTTATGAAAAAGGTGTTGTGTTGGCGAGATGTGGTGGCTGTAATAATGTACACCTGATTGCTGATCGGCTGGGCTGGTTTGGAGAACCTGGGAGCATAGAGGAATTCCTAGCTGCTCGAGGCGAGGAAGTGAAAAAAGGGTCTGCTGATACCTTAAATCTGACACTTGAAGATATGGCTGGAAAGGAGAAACTTGATGTCTGAAGGAGTTTCATAGTTTGCATGTCGGGATTATGACAGTAAAGATATCTTTTCGAAACAGATAGGCAATAGAGATGCAGATGTTAACACCATAGTGTTGAAGTTTTCTTCTTGAGAACTGTCTAATTGACAGATTACTAGAGATTATTTGCAACCGTGTCCTAATAGATGTATTCCCGTTAGTCATCGCTGTCAAACCATTTATTGCTCCCCGCAGTTACAGGGTATTCCAATTGGTGAAATGAAAAATTAAGTACCAGGAAGTTGTCAGTTCTCAAATAAGGAAAATTATGTAATTTAACCGCAAAACAACTTCAGGGATACTTTTGAAACTTCGTCACTTGCCCTGAATTCAATTTTTTCCCCAGTTGATTTCTAAAAGAGTACGCTTAATTTGCTAGTTTCCTCTCTTCGATTTGCGTAGACATTTCCACACAATTAAAATTTAAATTTTGTTCATATATTATATATCTAATCGTGATAATATATATACTGTCAGTATATATAAGATTTATTTGTTCATAAATTTAAAAAATAAAACAGTTATGAAAACCCACAAGAGCAAGCCACCCTCAGAAAACTTTTAGGTATAAATAACCTTTTAGTATACTTAGAAACTTTTAGACACATTCAGCCACAGATTTTTAATAGTTGAACAACAACAGAATCAAACAGTAGAACCTCAATCAAAATGGGACCAGATTGTAATTTTTTGGGGCAGAGGGTGTCTCAAGCGTAATAAGTGGAAACCTTGGAGACCTACTACCAGAACCAGAAGTCTCGAACAGACTTTTGCCTAGGACAAAGAAAAAACAAAAGACAAAAACAAATTATTGTTTCTTTTCAATTTCTTGCACGTAGAAGCAAAGAGATAACCAGGATTAATCCGTCTGTGTTTCTTCAGAACTTCTAAAGCCTGCTTGAATTCACTCTTTCTTTCACTCCCAAATTCTCAATATGGCAACAACAGTAGTGGGTTCCTATCCTCACTCACTCAAATCCCTCAGTTCCCCTCTTTATCTTTTGAAATTTAACCCAAGCTTCAGTTCCGGATTTGTTTCTTTTCCCAGCACAAGAAACCAGCCTAGGAAATCTCTTGTTGGTAAAACTTTTTAACTTCATCAAATATACTCTGTTTTATTATATCAGTTTTGGGTATTGTTATCTGAAAAGTTCTTTTAAGGAATTCCATTTTTCATGATTATGTGTGTTCATGTTTGCAATTCATTTGTTAGAATGGTTATGTAACTTAATGGGTTTCTGTTGTTTTTGGTCTTTTCTGTTTTGAACTTTAGGTTGAAGATTGGAGGATACTGACAATTTTGAAAAGGTTCAAAGAACAAGTTCTAATAAATAAATTGTAGTCAGGCGAGTAGAATCATATAGCAAAACCTTCAAACGTTGTCTAGGGAGGAGCATTTTTAGGATGGTTTAGCAATATATGTCTTTTAGGGAACAGAACGCTCTAACCACCATCATTCTATCTATTAATTGAAAGAAAACTGGCATTTTTATTTATATGCCCCAGTTAATAGCACTTTGTTATGACCAAATAACGATTTTTAGGTAACTGCTTTTCACACTTGATTATTGACGTTAACTAATTAGAATATAATATTAATTACATGTAAAAATGAGTTGATATCGAAGGGGGAATGCTTGATAAAAATATGGTTGAGACTTTCTTATTCTATGTAGTGAAATACATACAGTTTGCTGGCGTTTTAGTGATTTTCTAGAACAATCAGAAAAAGTCCAAGTCTGAAAAGGAAATACGGGCTAAATATGTGGAGCTATAGTACCATCTAATTAGGGCAAACGGAGTACCAAATGTCTGAGATCAGTTTTAGCAAAGCCTATATGCTGGCTTACTGTTAATTCACTGTTATCTTCTGTTGTTTGGTTTTTACAAGTTTTTGCATTTGATTTTCATAGACAAGAGAACTGCATGAGCAGAACATGCTTATTTGATCATGGCATTGCTTGATGCCCTGAAACTTTTAATGGGCTTAGATATAGAGCTGTATACACACTAGATTTTTTTCATCCTCCAAACCGAGTTCTATTGCACAGCTTGATTTATTTCATCCTCCACGGCAAGTTCTACTGGATCACAAACTCATATAGCTACTTGTGCTTCCTTTTCTTTTGGGAAGAATTCTTTGAATAGACTCTAAAACAGATCAGCATATAACCTTCTATCTGGTGTCGCTTCTTATACTTTAAAGTGGACTTCTATATGTCGCTACATGAGCCTCAGTGAGTCAGAGATGTTATGTGCACATTCGAGGAAACATCCTACCTTGTGGATTGTTGCATGATGCATAATGTGCTGACGCTATCTTTCTTTGATGCTATTTCCATGCAGTAAGATCAGTGGCTGCTCCTGTAGAAGCTGCCTCTGGGTTTGATGAAATGGTTTCAGGAACACAGCGTAAATATTATATGTTAGGTGGAAAGGGAGGAGTTGGGAAAACAAGTTGCGCAGCATCACTTGCAGTAAAATTTGCCAATAATGGTCATCCCACTCTTGTAGTTTCAACTGATCCTGCACACTCTTTAAGTGATTCTTTTGCCCAGGTTCAAAATTCAGTTTTCTTCACTTTGACTAGCGGAATCTGTTTATTGATGTCATTTTCAAAGTAGAACTCACGTAACAAGTTTGAAATGGTGTTCTCGCTTGTTCCCAGGATTTGACAGGAGGGACACTAATACCTGTGGAAGGACCTTATTCTCCATTATTTGCCCTTGAGGTGTGGGGAATAAGAAATTTTACATCTAATGGTTTCTATATTCCATAGTCGACATGTATGTTATTATATCTTCATGAATGGAATTTGTATTCATTTGAGTTTAAACATTTGTGCTGCAACAGATAAATCCTGAAAAAGCTAGGGAAGAATTTCGTAGTGCTGGTCAGAAAAGTGGGGGAACTGGAATTAAGGACTTCATGGATGGTATGGGCCTTGGAGTCCTTGCAGACCAGGTAAGACTCTTTATATGGGGGCCTTCACTTTTACTAGATACTATTTTCTGAGTAAATTGTTGAAATCTACTGTAATAAGTAGTCAACTGATTGTAGTAGTCTTGCAATTGATAACACTAATATATAGTCTGTGATGTTCAAATTTGCAGTTAGTAGCATAGAGTTATGACTGGATTACTACATACATGCTAACGTTATTGCCTTGGATTATGTGCGTGAATTAGATTTTATGCTTCCATTGTAATTACTTTATTGTCAATCTCCTTCCCCCCCAAGGAAAAAAAGACTTGCATACTTAAATCACTGTGTATATGTTTCCATGTTTGATTAACTAGTATATCACTGACTGTCTTTCCTCATGTGAGTGTTGAGTTATTGATTTATAGCTCAACTTCTTGTGCATTAAATGAGCTAGGTAACTTGATTCTCGTCATGATCTTCCCGTTTTTGTACTTGTCTAGCTTGGGGAGTTAAAGCTGGGAGAGTTGTTGGACACACCTCCTCCAGGTCTCGATGAGGCTATTGCAATTTCTAAGGCATGTTTTAGAGTTTGAAGTTGTATTTCAGCTTATGTTTTTTTTAGAGTCCTAGACTTCACTTACTACATAACTTATTTACAGGTTATGCAATTCCTCGAATCACAAGAATATAATATGTTTACCCGCATAGTGTTTGATACTGCTCCAACAGTGAGTGACTAAAAGGTCTCTTATTTTATTCTTTATAGAGATACTAATTCAAACTAATGCCTTGTAATACATCAATGTTCTTTGTAGGGTCATACATTGCGGCTTTTGTCCTTGCCCGACTTCTTGGATGCATCAATAGGAAAGATATTGAAGGTATATATGTTTTTAATGCTCACATAATAATGTCTGGATTGAAATGGCAAGTCAGTCAATATAGATAACCATCAAGTTTATATAACCAGATAAAAAGAAGCTTGAATTTTCTTTGTGCCAAATATTATTTCCAGGACAAGCAGAAAAGTTTTGATTGATGATAGCTTGTGTTTGTGAAATTCAACAAATAGCTATGTTGCTTGTAGTGCTCATCTACGGAGTCAAAGATATCTTCTTGTGTATACTTGTAGTGCTTATATCTGCTTTGTTCTTCTCATATCAATTCCTTACAGTTAAGACAAAAAATAGCTTCAGCTACTTCGGCAATAAAGTCAGTGTTTGGCCAAGAAGACAGCCATCGCGAAGATGCTGTAAGCCTGCCATTGTTTAGAAACTACTTACATTCTATTGTGAAGATGAAGTGCTAACATTGGTTATTGCTCTCTCATGTAGGCTGACAAATTAGAGCGCCTGAGGGAGAGAATGATTAAAGTGAGGGAGCTTTTCCGTGATACAAGCTCAACGGAGTTTGTCATAGTGACAATACCGACGGTATTGGCCCTCAAAAATTAGTTATAGCCTAAACTTGGTTACCCTAACTAGTCGAAGTCATATGAAGATGAATTTATGGTTTTGTATTTTGACCTGCATTATCTTATCCTTGGAAGAATCTTTTCTCTCATGGTCCATGCTTTTTATTATGTCCCTGTACCTTTTACCCTGTCTTGGTTGACATACTTCTTTTTTTCTGCATTCAAGAGCCTTGAACAACTCACTGGATTATGTTGAGTCCTTTTCATTTTGGAATTACTGAGGAATTCTTGTGAGAGAATTCTCATGGGTTGTATGACAGTCACATACTAATTCATTTATCAATTAATTTGCTTATATATTTTTCATTTCTTTTGTTGTAAAATAGGTGATGGCAATTAGTGAATCATCAAGATTGTGTGCTTCCTTAAAGAAGGAAAGCGTACCTGTTAAGAGGCTCATTGTTAACCAAGTTATTCCACCCTCTGCATCAGACTGCAAATTCTGTGCAATGAAAAGGAAGGTATGTCTGGACTACAAGTCTTTCAAATGGTACTTCCAATATTCTTAAACAAATTGTGGTTTCTACTGATGCTTAAAATAATTTATGTGACAAAGAAGGGAAGAAAGAAGTGGAAATTCTTTCTAAGCTTTTGTATTTCCATCAGTCATAATTCATGTTATGTGATTGTGTAATAGCAAAGCAGAGGGACTTGTTTCTGTGACTTGCACTCATTTTGTGGCTGGAACTCTTTTCAGCCTACTTGATTATTTAGGTCAAGTTGAATACTTGCTATTATGAACATATTATATTCAACTTTTATCCTTGGCAAATTTTCGGGGTTTCCTTTTCTAGAATTGTTAGAATGTGAATTATGCAGTGGACTCTGGGCAGCTACTTGTTAGCTTTGGCTTTTCAAAAGCTGAGCATGGTATAGCATTTATTAAAAACCGTGTTTTGAAAATTGAAATCATGCTTTTAATTAAAGAGTTTTGAAGCCAAAATATGTTTTCAAAATCAACATTTTTCAGCTTAAAATAATTTTACAGGAGGTCAAAAAGCAAAAAAGTATACCTCAAAGTAGTTTCTGGCTTCATAAAATGTTATCTTAAGTAGTTGAGAACAGGGTGGCTGGCAAAAGTGTAGTATGTAGGACAACCTTCCTTCCAGTGTAATAATTTCTTTAATGGTTTCTTTTGGACCATGCAAGTCTTCATAGGTTTCTGTGTAGCTTAGTTCTCTTCCTCTCTGATAGTCAGGAGTTAATAGCTCATTAATGTATGGTAGGACCAAATGCGTTCTCTCAACATGATTCAAAGTGATCCAGAACTTTCCAGCTTGATGGTGATACAAGCTCCCTTGGTGGATGTAGAAATCAGAGGTGTTCCAGCCCTTCAATTTCTGGGGGATATTGTCTGGAAATGATTCTGCCAGCTAATTGGTAAAACCTTTTCATTTTTTTAATTCACATAGCCCTTTCCATTGATACAGAAAATGAATTACTCCGAATAGTTGCCCAACTGTTTTTGGCTTTCTGCTCATCCCATGGTTGGATTGCTAATTTCTTGTTGTCTTGCATTGGCAGCCTTTTTTTCCCCATAAGTTTGCTCAAGGCCCCACAGTTTATCTTTGTTTCCAATTTTTTTTTCTCAAGGAAAAGTAGTTTTACTTCTGACATAACCTTTTGCTCTCATTTTCCATCAGAGGATGTTGTCACATAGTATGGATACATTGTTTCATGATTAAGAAAAGATTCACTTTTTTAAAACTTCAAGTTTTGCTGGGCCATTTACTGTAACTGTTGTTATTGCAATATCTGATCGATCCATGCGAAGAAGCACATATTTTGGAGCTTTATTTTCTGACTTCTTGGGGATTAATCTTGCGTGCATTTGTGTTTCTTTCATTCGTTGAAGCAGGTATTGCAACCAATCCAATCTTGGATTATTATGGATATCCTGGCTCTGCTGAACTTTTGAATCTTCAAATTGGCCGGATTGAGATTAACTGATACAATCATCTCAAAGGCTTCATGCTCTTGTGAGCTGATTTACAGGCATGATAGACACTGTGAAAGTGACTGCAAAATGGCTGCAATGAAATACTTCGGAAATAGCCTACACAGTTTTGCAACAAAGGAGAGAATTTCACAATAAAAGAGTACCATGCATGTCACACAACTGCAACGTTCAAGAGAATGTTTATGTTGAGACCATCAAAGTTGTGCTTCCTACAAGATAGATGATGCTTGACTTGTACAGTACAAGATTGTGATTAGTCCTTGGAGATACTCTTCTTTAGCAAACTCTTGAGGTCAGAAAAGAGAATTGATCTTTTTAATATATACTACTACTAACACAGCACGTCAGCTTGGATTGACCTATTTTTCAAAAATAAGTTTTTTTAAATATAATGTTACAGTAATATACAAATAAAAATAATTCAAAAAATATTTTATTCATACAATATATTAAATATTTCAAAAAACATCTATAGTAAAAATTTTTATGCTGTTATAGTAAAATATTTTAAAAATAGTTTAAAAAATAGCTAATTTAAATGGAGGGGCTGCGTTCAAAATCGACGGCCCAATCCAAGGTGCTGTTCATCGCGGCCTCCTAACCCGAAAATGCACTTTATGTAGAAGGACCATGGAAAAACAAATTTGATCCTAAACACAGTCAGCAGAGGTCATTTTTCCTTCTCAATGGGAACTTCACTATGCTTCACTTGGTGACTAGTTCAGGATCAAATGCGTACAATTCCTTCTTTGACATCGAAGTCCTAGAAATCCCATATCAACAAAGCAAGGAAGACCACAAGAAGAAATTTTCTATGCAAATTATCCTCCCCATACAAGAAAGATGGTTTGCAAAATCTCCTAGAAAAATGTATGCCAAAATTCAAGTTCTCGTATACCCTTGACGAAGTTTCCATTCATGGAAGAACCCATGGAGCTGAAGGAGATGTTCCATCGATGAGGAAGGCACAGAGGCGGCAGCTGTTTCTTTTAATGTGGTGGTTCCAAGTTTTGGACCTTTCCAAAAGCAACATCAGAAATTAAGATTTTTGCTGCTGCAGATCACCATCCTTTGATGTATTTAGTCAGAGAAGAGATATCCGGATCACCTCTTTTCCCCGGAGCAGCACCAAACACCCCCCCCCCCCCCCCCCCGCGGCGGGTAGAATGATCACCTTCCAGCATATACATGCGTTTTCGTGGAACATCCATGTGTTTAGTTACAACCTTTGCTTCTACGTTTCTATACCTATAAATTCCATTGACACTTGATTCAAATGTTTAGTCCGTCTATGTGTTACTTATGAGAGTTAGCATGTAGTGGTTTTAGCTTTTCATATTCCCATAATATATATATATATATATATATATATATATATATATATATATATATATGCTCTCATATTCTCTTATAAGATTCATGTATATCGGTTGTGGATTAAACAGCCCTTTCGGATAGGTTTAACGTTTTGGATTTTAATGATGACTTAAAAGAAAAAAATGGCACCTAAAACTCTTAATCTACATTTGCACTGTCCACTATGTCCAATTATTGCTTGTGCTCGATTTCTGTTGGAAAGGTAAGATTAAGACTAGGAAGCAAGCTAATGAAAAGGTATCTCGAATAATAGAGAAGAGAAAAAGTTAGTACTAGACAAAGCTCTACGTGCTCCTGCATCTTGGTCCAGTTTGGATTGGAGTACTTGAGAGTTTCTGCAAAAAAAAAAAAAAAAATAACAATATGATGTATGTGATGTAAAATAATAATTAAGAAATGTATTGAAGGAATATATAAAAAAAAATATCACAAAAACTCGCAATCCAAACGTCAACTTAGTCTTTATGTTATACAATTTGAAATTTACATACTTGGAACCAGTGTTTTAAAAGGCGAAAGCGTTGGGCAGGATGTTTTATGTCCATCTAGTGGAGGCAAAAGACCCACAAATTTTATTTTTAAATATTTTAAAAATATAATATATATGTATAAGCATGTGTGCATGTGTGTGTGTATATATATGTATAATATTAAAAATACCAAAAAAAGGATTAGATAAAATAAAAAAAATATAACCTTGTGTCTGCATAAAAAAAGTAAAACTTGTTTGTATGACTAAAAGTAAAACCTACTTGTATGACTAATGTTATGCCATAAGCGGAAACCCAACAAACCACTATAAATTTTGATGATTATTTGCATAAAAGACTTGATGTCATCCCCCAAACAAATGATCGCAGTTGTGAGAACTCTTTTCCAGGGCACTAGCAAATGATATTTGTGAGTTTTGACTATCAAATCCAGTGTCTTTCCCCTATTTCTTTAGAATATCTTCAATGTGAAGCACAAAGTTTTAAAATTTCACCTCCTTTGTATTATTAAATTCCAAACTAACATCCATGTTCATCAACTTAAATTTGTAAGCTAACATAAGAAATTTTTTTTAGAAATTGCAAATTCACCTTGAGGGTCTCAACTTCCTTAAACAAGTGAAGAGAAAATCCAGTTTAGATATTCTTTTGGAGTTTAAAAAAGAGAAAAAAGTGCTGAAATTTTAAAAGCACACAATTTTTACATTGTAAAGAAAAAACTCGCAAGAATGCGTGGGCATTCGCCCGGACACTAACCCCCATTTGACCGCCCAAGGGTAATTCAGAAACACCTCGCCTCGAGAATACGACTTTCAAAACACGGCTTAAAACTTGAACAATAAAATCACTTATATTAAAACTTCTTTAGCCAATTGTACACACAGTATACCAAATCTAAAATAGTTAATTTCAATTTATTTTAGTGCAAAAAAAAAATATTTTATCCCACTTTCGATGGAATTGTTTGTCCTCCAAAGAATGGCAGAGAAATGTGTTTGAACTCAAGAACAAACAAATTTTCTGCGGTTCAGATCTGAAGCTACGTCAGCCGACAGATCTGTGCCGCTAATTGGGATCCATTGCTTGCAAGTCTTTACGCTACTTGGTCATACGATTTGCACGACAAGTCATCCTCAGGTATCCTCCAAAAAGCCCTACACTCAAAAAAAAACCTCTCATCACGCACAAGAGAAAAAAAGGAAAAAAAAAAAAACATGAATCCTTGTCTTCCTTTTGCTGCAAATCTTGTGCAAAGTAGCCTCCGCAGCAATGGGTTCTCGAAAAATATTGTGCTGTCTCCGCTGTCCTTGAACGCCATAGCAGCCATGCTGGCCACGGGATGTTCAGGACGCTCTCTGAAGCGTGTACTCAGCTTTGTTGGATGCGACGATTTGGAGCAGCTCAAGTCGATGTTTTCGCAGATGATGTCTATTGCAACTTCCTCCTCCTCCTCCTCCTCCCCTTCCTCCTCCGCCTGCAGTGGCATGAGTAATAGCTACCGTCGTTATCGAGGTTGTGGTGGTAGTAGTAGTCCTCCAAAGATCTCATTCGTCAATGGAGTTTGGGTGGATTCTCGTTTTCCCCTCAAGCCCTCGTACAAGGACTGTGTTACTAACGTCTTCAAATCAGATGCCAAAAACGTGGATTTCCAAAAAGTACGTGTTACTATGTGACTGGTCTTCTCTCTTCTGTTGCTGACTCTTGTATTTTTTTTTTTGGCTATTATGTTGGGACGAAAAGTAAAATAGTAGTTTGTTAGGGTTAGTGAATGGTGTACGATATTAGTATGATGAAAAGGGAGAATTCCCATCATCAATCTCATTTTTAAGGTGATTAGGTTGATGAAACTCATAGTGGGAAAGTAAGAAAAAAAAAAAAAAGGGACAGGTACAAACTACAAAATTGTGGATAAGTGCATGTATGCATAATAGGCTGATATGTATATGTATAGAGACGTAAACGAGTCGAATCGAATCGAGTATTTCATGTTTGAGTTCTGTTCGTTAAGCGATTCGAACAACGTTCGTGTTCGTTCGTTAATTTTCAAACTCCAAACCTGTGTTCGTGTTCGGCTCGTTAAGCAAAGTTTATGTTTGAATTCGAGTTCGTGTTCGACTCATTTAACATAAATGAGCCGTTCGAGAACATTCTCGAAATACTCGAATCCAAATTATTTTAAACCTTAAATATGCCATACAAATCATTAATCATTCTAAAAAATAATTAAAGCACTAAGAGACTAAATTCTATTATTCATTAACTATATAACTAACATTAACATAAAAATAACAAATAAAACCCTCCAAATACAAAAGTCTAGCCATAAAATTAACCCTAAAATTTGTCAAATGATAATTATGTTCATGTTCGCGAACGTTCGTTAAAACTCGCGAACATGCTCATGTTCGCTTGATTATTAATCGAACAAAAAAAATCGTTCGAACTCGATTCGTTTAAAATTTCGAACGAGTCTTTCACGAATACGAATATGTCGAAACGAACCGAACTACCAAACAGTTCGATTCGTTTAACAGCTCTATATATATGTATGATAAGGGCATGTGTGCATATCTAGTTGATCAATTATGCTGTTTAATTACCTTTAGTACTGTTGATTACAAAAATCTGCCCAATTCCTCTTTTGTAACTTCGTGCATTAAGTCAATCAGTTAACCTATGAAAAACTATTCTTGCTGAATTTGTCTTGATAATGTTGTTTTATGTTGGACTCAACGATTTTGTGTAGGCCGATAAAGCCATCAAAGAAATAAACTCATGGGCAGACCTGCAAACGAATGGCCTCATAAAAGATGTTCTTCAACGTGGCCACATTAGCCCTGTTACCGCACTTATACTAGGAAATGCTCTTTACTTCAAAGGATATTGGGCAGATGAATTTGATATTACAAGGACTCGGAATCAGAACTTCTCCCTTCTCGGTGGAGACAAGGTTTCTGTTCCCTTCATGGGCATTTCAAGACATTATCTGTACGGATCATTTGATGACTTTAAAGTCATCGAGCTTCCCTATAAAAGCGGCAACATCGGAGACAAGAAGAGATTTTCAATGCAGTTGATCCTCCCACACAAGATAGATGGATTGCAGGATCTAGTATTGAAGTTCAATTCCGGGTTTATAAGCCCCCATTTCGAGCTTGAGAGAACACTTGTTGATGTCGTGCGGATACCCAAAATCAAATTCTCAAGCGTTCTTGAGGAAATTAAATTTCCATTCATGGAACAAGACATGGAGCTGACAGAGATGATTCATGCTAGAGATCCGCCTTTCATTTCAAAAATAATTCACAAAGCTTTTATCGAGGTGGATGAGAAAGGCACAGAGGCAGCAGCCGTCACTTTTAGTGCAATAGAGGGCTGTGCACCCGAAGCAATACAGCGAGAAATCAAGACTTTTGTAGCTGACCATCCTTTCATGTTCATCGTCAAAGAAGAGACATCTGGATTAGTCCTCTTCGTTGGAGCTGTAGTAAATCCCCTCCCAGAATGATCGAACATATATAATTGCTGGAGATTTATAGCAGTCAAAAGCATTAGGTTTATTTCGGAATCATTAATCTTTTAAGCACCCTTTTTCCCCCCTCTCTCATTTAGGCACCAGAATGGTTGTATTTTGATTATGTATTAATTATGAGTATTGCTACAAATTATGAAAATAATTTCGGGAGTGTCTAAGTTATACAAGGCTACGGAGTACATTCATCACGTAAAAATACTAAAGACTCCTTCACGTAGGCTGTCAAAGTTCTGTCATGCAAAAACCTCCATTTATATACTGCTGATCAAGTTGATCAGGAGACCGGGTAATAGGCTCTGAATCGGGCTCCTCCCATTACACTATGTCTCCTGTCTCGATACATATTAGATGATTGCTATTTGTCAACTAATTTCTTGAATAACTGAGCATAATATATACTGGAAAAAGCAAAACTCGAGCAATTCTAATTACCATCAAAAGAAAAAGATTTTCACTTTCAATTCTCAAATATGAAGAAAAAAACCTCAATATAATAAAAACAAGTTCAATCGGAATCCAAAGACATTGCAATTCACGAAGTTCAATAAGTAATCGATAATTCACGATCAAGAGTATAGTACTCTTTGCAGAAGTGGTACTTGTAACAATCCACATATGGTCAAAAATAAAAATCTCTATTTGACAGGACTTCTTCTTCCTATACCTATGAATTCCATTAGATCCAAAAATGATACTCGAGAGATTGTCCTCAGGTTGAGGTTTGATGGAATTGAGTTCGTTGAGATGTATGTCTACACAGGCTGTAATACTCTTTTATGTTGAGACTTGAGCGTTGCAAGTAAACTAGAGCAAAGGGCTTATCTTTTGTTTCTATTAAATTCGTGAGTTCGTTGTAATCGGTCTATATCTCCACGTCCTTGCACAGCTCGGCTTATTCTTCGAGCCTTGCTTCTCCCTTCCCACTCTTTCTAGTAATGCTACTTAAGATGGGAGTACTATATTTACTTTGATACAATAGGAAAATTTCCAATTGGCTGCCGGGCTGAGCAACCCAACAGTTTAAAAAAAAAAAAATTGCTTTGCCTATAGGCCCGGCAGGTATAGTTCTATATTACTTCATGTTAGGTCAACATTTTTACGATTTTTTTTAACAATAAACAAAGGAATTAACCCAAACAAACGGTCTCATAAAAAGTATCTTTCAACCTCAACATATTAAACTCTTTTTAACACAATGTCTTTGATTAAATCATTTATTTTTTGCCCCATGAAGTATTACCATGTACTTTTACATTGTCCCGTACGTCCAAGCTCTTAAACCCATCGAAATTAATTCCTGGAAACAATAGAGAGCTATAGCAGGCAAAGCTTGTTCGATTCTCAGAAGGTTCCAACTTTGAAAACAAAGGGGTGAAATTTTGACTACTGTTTTGTATACAGTAAAGGAATCAATATCTGGATTTTAATGAATGTTAATATCTTGATTTTGTATACAGTAAATGAATGTTAATATCTGGACTTTACAAGGAAAACCACATTAGAATATAAATTTATACTACAGACATCAAATTTGCGACTAGCAAAGCTATGACACGACTAGCAATGCCAATGAGGATTAGAACAGCTATACTAATTAAGTATCCAGTCATGGAGATTATATCCCACATCTTTGAGTAAACTACAGCGAGTCATGATGCACACACCATAGTACCTGATAATTAACCAAAATTTTATGATGAGACATATTTCTGTCTGGTTCACAAGTCACAATGTTATAATTCCTAAGAAGACATGCATATGTGTTAGTTAAATCCATTCATTTGAGAGTTAAACTCAACTTGGTTATTTAGCTGCATCTCTTCTATCTGTTTTTTTTCTTTTCAGTTCTAGATCTCATCTGGTAGGGTTTGCATTTTAGTGAACATGTGTAACATAATTACTTTAGGGATTATTAGAACTATGTAGACAAATTTCTTCTAGAATTACAGTCATATCAAGAGATATAAGACTTGCACAATTGAGACTAGCTGCAGTTTTCTCGTTTTATGCACTAAAGCAGGCATCAAGAATTATAATCGATGGAAGTCTTAACCTTGTATGGAAGGACCATACCTTTCTGCATTTTGAGTAACAAATGCTTCTAAAGCCCACTTTGGATAACACAAGTTAGCTATAAGCTTATACACTTTATTATCTTTGGTTGTAGTTGCAATAAGAGTCAAAACCACAGAAAGAAACACTGAACACTGCAAACGGTCAAAAAATAACAGGTCAAATTGAAGAAATCAAATTTAGAACAATTCAAAGAAAGGTCATACGTTGAAAGATAGATAACAGGCTTGATGGCTACGTTAAATAGGTCTACTGTATCCTTAGCAGCAAAATGAGCCAGGCTAGAAATTCCTGAAGCACTTTCTCGCCAGTATTGTAGCCTGTCCAGTGAAAATGATCTCAAAGCCACGATTTTGCATAAAAGAGCTGAAATTAGACAAAAAGTAGAATACAGTGAGCTATAATGAGAAATTTTGCAGAATTTGTCCCATATGTGCACCTATTATCATGAAGTCTAGTCATACTTCGGGACATATCTCAGTACCGAAGAATTGCAACTTCTAACTCTTGTGAGGCAATTGAAATGGCCAGTAAAGCAAGAACAATATTAACATGGAGTAAGAGGTAGTTGGTCCTTTCAACTTACAAACAGCAATAATAGTATAATTGTAACCATGCAGTCCGAACTGATAATCGCTTTCTTTGCCAAGTATTCCCAAGCTGGCCCCAGCAACAGAATGAGATAATCTATAGCTTGCATTCTGGCTTCACGTAATCGTTGCTTGCCAACCCTGAGATCAGTATGTCCGTGAGTAACATCACAATGTGTGCTTGGTGAAGGATAAAGAAATTTAATCAATTTTCTAAATATTAAGACATTTAGCAAGTTCCAAATGTTAAGACATGTATAAAGGGCCAGCAAACCCTTCACAACTAACAGGAATTTGCTTCTGAACCAAAAGATTTAATCAAAACCCAATTGTTGAGAAGGCAATCGATTAATCAAATACACAGCAGTTGACAAAGCTTCAACCCAAAATCTAGGGGGTACAGAAGATTGCAAGAGTAATGTTCGAACCATATCCAACAAATGGCGGTTTTTGCGTTCAGCCACCCCATTTTGTTGAGGGGTATAAGGACATGATCTCTGAGATACAATCCCTTTGCGTTGCAAGTAGGCTTGGAAGTCATATGACACATATTCCCCACCATTATCAGACCGTAAGATCTTAATACAAGTGGAAAACTGTGTCTCAATGTAAGCCACAAAGGTTTGAAAAACAGTAAACACCTCAGCTTTAGTGCGCAGGAAATATATCCATGTGAACCGACTATAGTCATCAATGAATGTCACAAAGTATTTATACTGCGCATGTGAAATGACAGGAGTAATACCCCAAACATCACTATGTATTATCTCAAAGCATGCACTAGCACAACCAACAGAAGTAGGAAAAGGTAACATCTTACTCTTCCCCAATTTACACACAGAACAACCAAGAGATGATGCATGAGCAAAACCTTGATCTTTAGCACCAAGAAAACCACGCTTTATTAAATCAGATAAAATGACATTATTTGGATGACCCAATCGTCTATGCTAAATTTCAGCCTTATTGTCAACAATCATAGAGGCTAAAGATAAAGTTCTAGGAATAGTAAATTGCAATGGAAATAATCTTCCCACTCTAGGCCCCTTCGCGATTACCTTCCCCGACATCTGGTCCTGCACAAGACAACCACCACGAGAGAAATGTACATCACAATGATTCTCCACTAGCTGTCCAACAGAGATTAAATTAGTAGACAACTTAGGAGCAACAAATACATGGCGAAAAGAATGTCCAATATCACCAATAGCTGTAATTGGAAGATTACTACCATTAGCAATCTGAATATTTTGGCAACCAGTATATGGCCGCAAATTTTGTAAAAAATCAGATGAACCAGTCATATGATTGGTCGCTCCTGAGTCGATAAGCCAAGTAGATGAAGCTGGCTTACCTTGACCTTGAAGTCCAAGGGCAGAAAATGCAGTAAGAATCATCTGCTGGACCATTTCTGGGGTCAGAACAGTCTGGCTGGTGGTAGATGTAGGACCAATAACAGGAGCATCTGGAACAGTAGCTTGAAAAGCTTGGGCTCGCCTGTTTTCCGGACGTGTAGGACATTCCTTGAGAATATGTCCACTTTGCTTACAGTAACTGCAGAATTTCTTACCACAATTGCGAGCAATATGGCCAAACTCCTTGCAGCTGTAGCACTACATTTGTCCCTTTCCTCTATTCCTTTCTTGTGCAGCATAAGCAACATTGACAACCTCTGATGTCCCACCAGCTGCACTTAGAATTGACTGTGTAGCCAATCTTTGTTCTTCCCGTAACAATTCACCAACACACACATCCAAAGAAGGAACTGGATTTCGATTCAGCAATCCACCCCGAGCAGTCTCAAATTCTGGCCTCAGTTTCATCAAAAACTGATCACGCATGCTAACTTGATGAACTTTTTGAAAGCTTGCTAAGGCCTCCTTAGGTATCTCAAAGTAGATGATATCAGAATATTCACCCCACAGATTTAGAAATGCAGAATAATATTGCTCAATAGACAGATTACCTTGACTGAACTTACTGATATCAAGTTCAAGCTGAAATCGTCTTGCAGTGTTGTGTTGATGATATATGCGTTTCAGAAAATTCCATATCTCCTTTGCAGTATTAAATGAACGTAAGCTGTTCACCATATGAGGTTCAATGGATGCTAAAATCCATGAAATAATTCGTGAATCATTTGATTCCCATTGACTTATTTCTTTCTCAGTTCCAGAAGCAGTAGAAGACCCATCAATGTGACCCCAAAGCTCCTTCCCTTTCAGAAACATTCTGAACTGAAATTCCCATGTTGCATAATTCTTCCCTGTAAGTCTGATACCCAAAGTCTCTGCAGATTGTCTTCCAAAAGAATTCTCAGCAGCCATTCTTAACAAAACTCAAATGCAAATCCGAAATCACAGATTGATAAACTAAGAAATATCAAAACCAGAATGTTGATTAGAAATCAACCCAAAAAGCTAAAGAAAAAAAATACTCAAAATATCTTATAGATTCAAAAGGTAGGCTGTGATACCATGACAAAATTTGAGTAAATTGACTGGAATCGGATGCCGTTCCTCTTCCTGGTCCTTTCTATTAAATAAGAATTCCTGTACAATCTATTTTTGGTAAACCCCTATATATACTTGATTGATTGACCTAATATACAGCTATGGTAACTGATTTTCTATTCTAGGTAAGAAATATATACAGATTGTAGCCATAATGTCTGTCATAATCTGCCATAATCTTTCCCATAACCTCTGCCATATAATCTGCCATAATCTTTCCCATAACCTCTGCCATATAATCTGCCACAATCTCTGCCATTGATACCATTGATAGAGTTCACAGTTTCAGCACATGTAAATAACTTCTCTTCATGCAAGGTAAGGCCTAATATTTCTCACTGTTCCCCCTTCCCTCAGTCTCCTGTTTATTCAAATTTGGCCTGTTTTATCCGGGCTGAGTGGGTTTCATGAAAGTCAATTAACGTCGAAGAAGATTGATGAAATTTTGTTATGTACCTTCCAAGGAAGTACTTATATTGTAGAACCACATTGGGAGTTCTCCGCTCTGACAAATCCTTTGACCGCAAGAAACGGTGCCCCATAATACTTTTCTGCCGTTCCATGTTAGACTTCGCATCGTGCCACATTTCCCCAGCAAAAGATTGTTCCTTGTTTCTAATTTCAGGAGAATTCTCATGATTACCAAATTGTATATTTGATGGAGATGCAGTAACGCCAGCAGAATACTGTTGCATGTCAGAAGGCACAGGATAACCATTGTAAAGCATCCATCTTTTAGGGAGCTCTTCGTGACTCAAAATGAAGCTTGTGTCTGGTTTGACTATTCCCTCCGAAACATCTATGAAGTACTCCGGGGGATTAACTCTGTCAGGAACTCGGATGTCAAGGCTGGTGAAGTAGTCTTCAACTGTGCTGACTGAACCATGATAGACGGTGAGACCAGCTTTTGATAGAAGTATCAAGTCATCAAACATCTTGAATAAGGTGTGGCTGAAACTAGAATATAATCAATGAAAATTAGGAGAATAAAAGTATCCAAACAGTCGTACCAAATGGAAAAAAAATGGAAAAACTGATGCCCTCGTAATTTGAGATTTCTAGGACATTTTGTTAATAACTAACTACTTCGTAAACATGGGAGCTTCTGCTCCCAAGCAGTCCACAAATGTTCCTCGGATGCAATTGTCTGATTTTCGTTTGCATATTCCATAAGAATAATGCTATAGAAGTTCCTAAATGTATGCTAAAGATTCTTAATAGCATGAGCAAATGAGTTGAAGTAAAGAAATCGTTACCATAGTGATACATGACAAACAAGTCCAACCAAAAGAAAAAGGAAATTACCATCAAGTATTCATAAGATTGATGTAGTTACCTTGGTTAGTGAACAGCCATGCAGATGTTGACCCCCTCAAGAGCTTCCCGCCGAAGTGCTGAAAGAAGTAGCTGGGAAGTTGAGCTCTCCAATCCAGATGTCGGCTCATCTAGAAAGAGAAGTGAAGGTTCCATTACCAACTCCAGACCAACATTTACTCTTTTCCTTTGACCTCCAGATATTCCTCTCTTTTCTACTGTTCCAACAAGTGAATCACGAACTGCTTGCAACCCCAGAGATCAATAACCCTCTCAACTATAAAAACCTTATGTGGCCTTGGCAAGTCTGCTGAAAGCCTTCAATGATTTTAAGAAGTACAGAACAGTTAAATAGTGAAATTTTAAGCTGCAGGAGTTGCTATTAGCAATAGAAAGGCAATGGAGAGATCATGAAGATGAATAATTAGAAAAGTTTCATGGTTTGTTGCAATTTCATATGTCAGATTATTGACAAGCCAATTCTCCCAAAAAAAAAAGTAATAATAGTAACAATAGTAATGCAATTAATTATACACGTTTCCAACACAAAAATGTTTCAAGGCAATTTTGCCTTGATGAATCAGATACTCTTCGAACTGGACACAAATTAGCCTCTATAAACCACCTAAACTGTTTCTGCTCCTGATGGTTTCAATTATTCTTAATCAACAATATTTAGACAAGAAATTTTTGTTTAGATGTTATACAGAAAAACAACCATATAGGGTGCAAGAGAATTGGACATCACATACCTGCATCTTGCACTGAACCACAAGTTCTCCTCCACAGTCAAATTTCCATGCACAATATCATCCTGAGGAACAAAACCAACTATTTTCTTGTATGAATGGATTGATTCTGTCTTTCCATTTATAAGAATCAAACCATTTACTTTGCTGCCAACTGCTTTTCCTGCCAGGGCAGAGAGAAAAGTTGTTTTTCCAGGCCCTGACGGGCCCATTACAGCTGTAATACGGCCAGGCATAATATTTCCAGTAATGGACCTCAAAATATGTTTGTTTTTCCCTTTCATTCCTTCCAGAGTAACAGTTAAGTCTCTAAAAGCAATCTCAATAATAGGTCTTTTTCTCGTGTTAGTATCGACTGCCAATTGAATTACTCCTGGGAAGGTTAAATTTCTGGTCTGCTGCTGCTGAGCTTTCTCTTTCTCAAGTTGTGAATAAGCATACTTGAAGATTTGGCTCTCAGTACGTAATTCTTTTTCCTTTGCGGCTTTTGATTTGCTATTTCTATCTTCCACCCTGAAACTTGAGAAACTATCAGAATGGTCTTCAGTTTCATGCATCATTCTCATGAGATCATCCCCTTCTACTTTCTTCCCTTCAGATGAAGCACGTGATTGCTCTGATGCACCAAAAGTAATAGCATCCATGGCAGGATATAACTCCTTATCTACTCCAAGTTCCACTATGTTCAATGTCATAACATTCTCAATTTCCACGCTGACTTTCCTGCTAGAGAATCTCTGAGATATTTCAGTACGCAATTGAGCTGCATGCTTTTTAGCTGCATCCCTTGCAGCTTTCCACCTTTCACGCACTTGAACCTTGTCTCTTACACTTCTAGCTGCTGCTTCCCTGGACTTGGCCCTTCTCCTCTCTCGAATTGTGATGGATTGGTCAAAGCAATTATAGACAATAAAAAGAAGAATACTCAAACCAGCCTGCAATTATGATAAATAAGTTTTTTTTTAGTTGTAGATTCAATAGCGAAAGAATACAGGGACTTTGAGGCGATGGCCGGGCAAGCAAAATCTTTCACCAATCAGAATGCAGGTGCTGCCCAAGGCTCAATGACGGATATTATAAATGCTTAAACAGTTTATTGTGATAGAATGTGATCCTAACAAGTCGCCAAGACTACAAGTGCCCCGACAATCAGAAAGCAAAGCCAATAACAACGGAGATGCTGAAACATGAGCTCTCTGGCATCTTCAGGACAGCTACTATAGCTGTAGCAGTATCTAACTTGAAACTGTTAAGCTCACTCTCACCTTCTAAAATGATTCATGTACAAGTCAGAGTAAAAGAACCTCCCGCATTTGACTTCCCCTAAAAGACAAAGGACCCAACATAGTCAAGAAAAAGGAACAACTTACTACAAGCATTAGTCCATGTACATGAATATTTTGATTTGCTGTATTTGGACCACATGTAGCCAACTTGAAGCATTCTGCAAGTTTAATTTGCAAGACATCACTCCACTGAGCAATGATTTTTAGAAAAAAAAAAAAAACTTATCACAATCTGGGTCAGACTTTTTTCTGAACTTACGTTTCTCAGCTGTAGAACCCCTAGGACAGTAATTCCTGGATTTTCAAGAGAACATAGTTGTATATCAACTCCAGCAATATAAAACTTTATAACAAGAATAACGGGAATATTAAGAAATCATAGGCACCAATTACTCAAATATCATCGTTACTGCTGATAATCAGGTACACATCTACTTACAAAAACAATAGTGCAAATCATAGTTGTCGGAAACTGCATCTTGCATGTGCTTCTCCTAAATAGATTTCAAAGTATAGGACAAAAATTGTGATAAACTTATGCTACATGCTTAAAACTCTTAGTAATCATGCTTAAACTGCTTCTTGCATGTGCTTCTCCAAAATAAATTTCAAAGTATAGGACAAAAATTGTGATAAACTTATGCTACATGCTTAAAACTCTTAGTAATCATGTTTAGAGAATCAAATAACTTTACAGAATTAGTTGAGAATTTTTTGAAACTAATCCATTCATTGGAGTTGATCTTTAATGGTA